GTTGTTGAATTACTAAACTTTTACTATTGTTATTATTACTATTGTTAGTAGTGGTATTATTATTATTATTATTTGAATTATTATTATAAATGTTGTTGTTTTTGTTGACATTTTTAGTGGTAGTTATAGAAGTATTTAAACTATTACTATTACTGGAATTGGTATTGGTATTATAATTATTATTATAATTAGTGGTTGTGGATAGTTTTTGAGAGAAACGTTCTTTATGTTTATAAAGAAATGTTGTTGAGGAAGGCTGAGAAGTATGATTACTGCCGCTACTACTGCTGCTACTGTTGCTAGTGGTGATATTGGCTGTTTGTGTGACAATATTATTTGTTATATTATTGTTATGGGTATTGGTAGTGGTGATGGTGGTGGAGGTGGGATTGCTAGCAACTGAATACATTTGTCCACTAACATTGCCTCCGCCGCCGCAGACTCCCTCTCCTTCCATCACGTTAATATGACTTATATAACCGCCAAAGCCTCTGCTAACATCAGCCGATTCTCTACTACTACCAGCTACAAAATGGGCGTCTACGCCCCCTAAGCCGCCACCTAACACACCAAAACCCCCAACACCTAAATCTACTAGTATGCTATTACTGCTACCAGTTGAGGTCGTCAAATAACAACAATTGTTAGTAGGTACTGTAGTATAAAATGTTGTAATACTAACCCCGCCGCCTCCTCCTCCACCGCCGCCGCCAACACGATTATTAGGTGAGTAAGTCATGCCAGAATTATCATCATCACGTCTTCTTCGTCTTGGGCGAGATTGAGACCAATGTGGCGGATCTTTTCCAGCACCACTGCCACCGCCGCCGACACCACTTCCACCAACCGAATTACTCAAAGAAGAGGATGATGAAGTAACATTATTACGTGGATTATGATGATGTCCCTGTTGTGGCACATGTTGTACAACAATTTGTGATTGATGAACAACCTCAACATTAACATCGTCTTGTAGGTCGTGTTGCTGCTGTTGTTGTTGCTGTTGATGGATCTGCTGTTGCTGCTGCTGATGATGATGCTGTTGTGCTGAAACAGTTGGTACATTATGTGCCGTATAGGAAGTATGCTGCATTGCACCAGTTTGTGTATTAGAGGAAGGCATTTGATAGTGAGTTTGTTGTATGTGTGTTGCAGCAGCACCACCGCCTCCGCCACTCAATTGCTGAGGTTGTTGCTGCTGCTGCTGTTGTTGTTGTGTTTGTACATGATGAGTAGTTTGATTTTGCGCACTATAATGATGATGACTGCTGAGAGCATTCGTATTGCCACCACCACCATATGATTTATCAATAGAAGATTTCGGTATGCCACCTTTTGGAAATAATAAAATTATATATGTATAATGATATATGTATATAAAAAACACAGTAACACATTTAATACAGATTCAAAGTAAAGAGTTTGTTTGTTCTTACCAGTATTTGGTTTCATGCTTGAATAATGTCTTGTATTACTACTTTGCTGAGAGCCAGGCTGCTGTTGACTTGAAGTCTGTTGTTGCTGTTGATTAGGTGGTGGTTGTTGTTGTTGTTGCATTTGATGCTGTTGCGTCATAGTTTGCTGCTGTTGATGGGGATCGACAATGGTAGTTGGCATAACGCCGACCAGACCACCAGCTCCACCAACACTTACACTAGATACAATTATATTGTTACCAGCCAATTGGGGTTGAGGTTGGGGAGTTTGTTGCAACTGTTGGAGGTTTGTGTTGCGTGGCTGCTTACGATGACCACCGCCGCTTTGACCACCACTGTTGCCAGAATTATTACGATGATTGTTGTTATAGCGTCCACCGCCTCCGCCACCACCACCACCGCCGCCACCGCTTTGCGGTTTTGTGCTGCCAGTTAAACCAGGAGTTTGTGTAGGAGGTGGTGCTGTTGTGGCATATGCAGGTACTGCAGGAGGCAAACCATTGGCTGCAAAAACATTGCCAATCTCATAGAAATTCTGACCATGTGCTGTGGTTGCGGCTGCTGCTACAGCTGCAGCAGCCGCAGTAGGCCAAGGTGTAACAATGCCGGGATAAAATTGTTGCTGTTGGAATTGCTGTAAAGTAAATATACGTTAAAATTTAGAATGCAATTCAATTAAACTATTCAAGAAAACAACATACAATTAAATGTAATTGACCATTATATGGTACTGGTGGTTGCGTCATTGCTGCTCCATTGGCAGCATAAACAAAACGTTGCGGTGCTGCACTATAAGCAACAGCCGCTGCAGCAGCAGCATTTGGATCGTATACAGCGGCTGGTGGTGAAGTCAAACGGAAGCCATTTTTAATAGTTGATACTGGACCGATTGGTAATCTATTTATAAATGGTTTGGCTTTCATCCGAGCCATTATTGGTTTACCCTAAATAAATAATAAAATGTTAAATAATAATCACAAATCAATGATTTATATAAGAAATTACCTGAAATTCTTTAACATCTTCTCTTAAATATTTAAAAGCTTTTTGTGCATCTTCATCTG